CCTCCATCCTCGCTCTTGTCCAATCCACGATTGAAGACGATGACTCGATCATACTAGAAAGCGACCCTGAAGAAACACAAGAAAGCGACTTTCAAAACCCAGAAGAAAGCGACCCTCAAAACCCAGAAGAAAGCGACCCTCAAAACCCAGAAGAAAGCGACCCTCAAAACCCAGAAGAAAGTGACCCTCAAAACCCAGAAGAAAGCGACCCTCAAAACCCAGAAGAAAGTGACCCTGAAGAAACTCAAGAGAGCGACCAAGAAGAACCACAAGATAGCGACCCTCAAGAATCAGAAGGTATTTTTCTAATTTTTAATCGACTTTCATTTTTTAATTTAAGTCATTTCCGCATTTATTAGATATTAAAACTTTCAGTTTCTACACTTTCAGTGTACTGTCTGTTTTAAATCGATCATTCATGAAAAGTATTTGTTTTTTTTGCATATTTCTTAAAGAAATTACGAGTCCGAGACATATTAGACATAAACTCTGCGTTATCAGCACAATGCCATAGTGTTTTTAAACCATTTTCATTTTACACGATTTTTAAAAACAAAAGGATTACGTTACGTAATATGCGTGAGTAGTCATTCTGTGTGCATGACTTTCAAAAGTTAACGAACAAAAGTCCTTTATCCAAASTAGTRGTTGCATTGYCAATTAAAATAATTTAAACCGAATACGACTTGATTTATAACCAAACTCTCAATGGACTCGCTACCGAGTCTATTACCAGACCATGGCAAGGAACTACACAAAAGACYRGGAGTGAACGTTCCAGAAAATATATTAMGTTGAGTCGAATTGAATTGAATTYAGATCAACTTCAAAGTGAAAATTTGTGCATCCAGTCACTAAATAGTTCGTGCATGCAATGCCCGCTCTAAAGCAAAAATCTTCATTATGAAAGAAAAAGAGTGGAAAGTTCTTCAGAAGAGGGTAGTATATCCCGAGACATATCAGCCGCTCATATTCTATATATATTACACAACTATAATGGAACTGTGATGCAAACGAAAACCCTGATCGAACATTTCCACGTACATTATCTYGATTGTGCCAAAAGGAACAAAAYCCCTCGTYAGCATGCGGAAATTGTAGTGTTTGTATTCTACGCGTCWAAAACATTTTCCGCATTCTAGAAGTTTACAAACAATTGAAAAATTTCCGGGTATGTTTCGTGTGGACGCAACCCGCACTGATAAAAATAGCAATATTTGTTTTGATTTTATTATATAMCCCAAGTTGACTCGATGTTTAAATCGCTTGCTCAGCGTAATAGTATATTTTGCTTTTGGGGGTTTGCTTGGTTTCTTTAATTCTTACCGAAAATGAGAAACATGAGACACAACGCTTTGCACTTTTCAGTAGACGAACATCAGGT